TGCATGCAGCCCGTGTCTACCATCCGTATTTCATGGCCGTCTGGTATTTGGATTGTCTGGTTCTGGCGGTGAGCTCCAACATTTCGAGTTCTTTGTCGTGTGCTTCTGCTGCTAGCCAGTTTATCTATAAATATATAAAAAAAAAAAAAAATAAATAAATAAATAAATATAAATTAATATAAATATATTAATGTTTTTATATTGTTGTGGTATAGTATAATATATTTACAATATATACACAGAGAACGATAGTCTATACAGCTGCACACTAAACCCTAAACCCTAAACCCTAAACACACCAAAACCCTCGATACCACAAACCCTAAACCCTCAGCTAAACCCTAATTTCTACAAACCCTAAACCCTAAACCCTCCAGCGGGCAGAGCGCCCCTCCTCCTAAACCCTAGACCCTAAACCCTAGCCCCTAAACCCTAGCCCCTAAACCCTAGCCCCTAAACCCTAAACCCTAAACCCTAGCCCCTAAACCCTAAACCCTAGCCCCTAAACCCTAAACCCTAAACCCTAAACCCTAAACCCTGACCTGGTGTTTTCTCTTTTGCATGACCTTGGGTTCTAGGGTTTCTGTGATGGCCCCCTCCTTGGCGCTCCATACTTTCGTTGCTAGCCGCAGCTTTCCTTTTTTTTGGGGGCCGCAGTGTGCGGTGAGGTGCCTGCACAAAACCCTAAACCCTAAACCCTAAACCCTAAACCCTAAACCCTTATTATATGGACACTCGTTCTATGTAAACACGAATTATATACACTATTATATACACAATACAGGAGTCGGCTATTCATATACTCTGCTTAGGGTTTAGGGTTTAGGGTTTAGGGTTTACAGGGTTCAGAGCGTCTAGGGTTTACGCGAGGGTTTAGGGTTTAGGGTTTAGGGTTTAGGGTTTACCAGTCCGGGTTCTGTAGTGTAGCCCCGCTTACAGCAGTCGCCCCCATACGACGGAGATCTCGCAGCTGCACACAAAACCCTAAACCCTAAACCCTAAACCCTAAACCCTCAGCGCCAAACCCTAAACCCTAAACCCTTAACTAAACCCCAAACCCTAAACCCTCAACTCAAAACCCTAAACCCTCAACTCCTAACCTTAAACATCTGAGGGTTTATACTTTCAGCCCCGAACCCTAAACCCTGAACTCTAATAGAACCATAAACCCTAAACCCCAAACCCTAAACCCCAAACCCTAAACCCTAAACCCTAAACCCTAAACCCTAAACCCTCACCTCAGCGGATGAAATTCCTGAGTTTTGTATGATTTCTTTTTCTATGCCCAACTCCTCGAGAGCAGCATCATCATCCTTTATTGTCCATGCTGCTCCTGCTGCTGCTGCTGCTGCTGCTGTTGCTGCTGCTGCTGCTGCTGCTCTTTCATCATGTGCTGCTGCTGCAGGTCCTGCACAGGTGGGGTCTGTCTTGCTATCCTGCACTTCTCCAGCCCCGCTGCTGCTGCTGCTGCTGCTGCTGCTGCTGCTGCTGCTGTTGTTGCTGCTGCTGCTGCTGCTGCTGCTGGTTTGTGCTGCTTCTTTCTCTTCGTCTGAGTCATAGAGAGTAAACATAGATGTAAGGAACCCACCGCTTGCTGCTGCTGCTGCTGCATCTCCTGCTGCTGCTGCTGCTGCTGCTGGTTGTTCTTCTGCTGCATCACCAGCAGCATCTTCATCATCATTAGCAGCAGCAGCAGCTGCTGCTGCTGCTGCTGTTGCTGCTGTATTCTGAGGTTGTTCTGTTTTGATCTGCTTCTGCTGCTGCTGCTTCTGCTGCTGCTTCTTCTGCAGCACGCGCGGCACCATCTGCAGCACTGAATCTCCTGCTGCTGCCGAAGCAGCAGCAGCAGCAGCAGCAGCAGTTTCTTCTTCCTCCTCTTCTGCTGCTGCTGGTGCAGCAGCAGCAGCAGCAGCAGCAGAACCACCAAGCCCCAGAGAGCTCGTCGTCGATCCCTGCGGCTTGGGCAGGGATTGAAGCAGCGCCATGTTTCTGCTGAGTTTGCTGTTTCCTGCTGCTGCTGCTGCTTCTCCCGCTGCTGCTGCTGCTGCTGCTGCTGCTGCTGCTGCTGCTTCTGTCTTCACTGGTGCTCTCACTGCCTCCCACGCATCTTTTGTTGAATC